CCCCCCGCCGTCCCTCCCCCATTTCCCCCCAACAGACCCCAGTGTGTAGTGCTCCCCTCCCTGTGTCCATGTGTTCTCATTGTTCAACACCTGCCTATGAATGAGAACATGCAGTGTTTGATTTTCTGCTCTTGTGTTAGTTTGCTGAGAATGATGGTTTCCAGGTTCATCCATGCTTTTTGAAACACTACATTCAAATTGTTTGACAATCCTCCCATCCCCTCTTTCAACTTGAGCAGGACTTTTTGACTACCTTGACATAGAATGTGGAAAAAATATATATACGTTACATGACTTCTGAGACTCAGAAAGGCTACGCGGCTTTGCTAGTTTCTCTTAAAAGATGCTTGCTCTTGAAACCTAATCACGATGCTATGAGAGAGCCCAGGTCTGATGGAGAGGGTAGGAAGTCCAGCTAACAGCTAAACTCAACTACCAGATCAGTAAATAAGAAAGTCTTTGAGATGACTCCAGCTTCAGCCACTGAAACCATAATAAATCCCAAATGAAAACCACCCGAGCCCAGACATCCCCCAGAAACACAAAAGACAATAATGAATGCCAGTTTTTGTTTTTGTTGAGATGTATTTTTGCCCTTGTTGCCCAGGCTGGAGTACAATGGCAAGATCTTGGCTCACTGTGATCTCTGCCTCCCTGCTTTAAGCAATTCTGCTGCCTCAGCCTCCCGAGTAGCTGGGATTACAAGCATGTGCCACTATGCCCGGCTAATTTTGTATTTTTAGTAGAGACGGGGTCTCTCCATGTTGGTCAGGCTGGTCTCAAACTCCTGACCTCGGCTGGTCTCAAACTCCTGACCTCAGGTGATCTGCCTACCTTGGCCTCCCAAAGTGCTGGGATTACAGTGAGCCATCGCGTCCGACCACCTGTTGTTGTTTTAAGGCACAAGGTAATGAATACTCCTAGCCAAAAAAAAATGGGGAGTTCTTCTTTAAAGGAAAATTAATAAACTGTCCAGAAATAGCTAATCAGTTAGTATGGGTGCTGGTATTCCAGAACAATATGCTGGCAGTTAGGAAGTCCGCAAGTTTAATAACCTTGTTCCTCATTATTCTCCTTGAATATCTGGTCTGATTACTAGCAATACGGATCTTTAGATAATTGAGGAATCTCTACACCCTAAAATAAAAGAATCAGGATGAACAAAGGGAAAACAATGCATCAAGAAGAACATGTGTATCAAGGGACACAAGTGAATCTGAAAAAGAGCTCTGAGTATGATAAGAACAGAGAATAAAATGCTCTAAAATAGGAACAAGTGGAGAATACAAAAAAACTCACAAAAATTAGACAAAATAAA